GGCATTCTTTTATAATACTGCTTTAGATTTATTTAGAATAGATTTTCTGTCATTCCTAAGATTTGGATCAAACAAAGAAGGTAGATGTGTGAGGTTAGTCTGCAATCTTACTTTTTCCATTTGGATGCTGATTCCACTTCTACCCAGATCTAGTTGTGCACCACCTTTCCCCATCCCTGCCCTGACACCCTCCCCTCCTGCTTTCATGCTAATACTTGATAAAGTACCTTTTCCAAGACAGGTACCTCCAAATAGTTAAGTATTTAACATGTGCCATGGCATCAAATACTTTATTTCAAGCAAGGGAGTAAATTGCAAAATTTAAAAAATAATAATTTATACAAAGCTGCAGATTGATTCAGAGCTAATCAAAATGACTACTGTGTAAAACTCTAAACTTAAGTTTTAGGAGTCACTCTTTATCATCCTGGAAAAATAATCTAATTATAACTGAGAGTCATTTCAGCAGTCCATATAAAGAGAACCATAGGCAAGGGATGTCCTGATTAGTATACCGTGGCCCACTGCTTAGAGTTGTGTGTGTGAGTGTGTGTGTGTGTGTGGGTGGGTGTGTGTGTGTGTGTGTGTAAGTATTGTGTTAACTTTGAGGAACCATAATTGTTGCACTTTTTCATGGAATTTAATTGTCGCTTTTTTGTATTTTAATAAAGATTATTTATTTAAAACATAATAAAGTGTTGCATGTGTTGTATTTAGTGATTGTTATTGCGTATATACTAAAAATTAGATATCTTACAATGTTGTGGAAATGAAGAGAGATAGACAATATAGTACCATTATAGCACTTGGGGCATCCCTGCATTTGTACATAGCTCAACCTGTTCTATTTCTCTGCTGACATTTGTGACTGGTGGGCCAGGCTGCTGTGAGCTCCTTGTAACCTACCAAGGCTTCTTCATCTCCTTTTTGTATTCTGTGTTATCTGCACAATACCTTGCTCAAAGGAGTTGTTCAATAAATGTTTAATTGCTTTAGCATTATATTTGTGTGCCCCTTAGATCAAATATATGGCTCAAGCCCTGACCAGTTTGGCTCAGTGGATAGAGCGTCAGCCTGCAGACTCAAGGGTCCCAGGTTCGATTCTGGTCAAGGGCATGTACCTTGGTTGTGGGCACATCTCCCGTAGGGAGTGTGCAGGAGGCAGCTGATCGATGTTTCTCTCTCATTGATGTTTCTAACTCTCTATACCTCTCCCTTCCTCTCTGTAAAAAATCAATAAAGAATACATTTGAAAAATATATATATGGCTCAAATCAGATTATTATTCAACTAGTGGCCCAGTGCATGAAATTCATGCATGGGGTGGGAGGAGGGGATGGTGTCCCTCAGCCCAGCCTACACCCTCTCCAATCTGGGACCCCCACAGGGATTGGACCGAAACTGGTAGTCGGACATCTCTCTCACAATCCAGGACCTCTGGCTCCTAACCACTCACCTGCCTGCCTGCCTGCCTGATCATTCCTAACCATTCTGCCTGCCGGCCTGCTCACCCCCAACTGCCCCCTCTGCCGGCCTGCTCACCCCAAATGCCCTCCCCCCCCCGCCGGCCTGATTGCCCCCAATTGCCCCCACCCTGCTGGCCTGCTCACCCCCAACTGCCTCCCCCTGCCGGCCTGCTCGCCCCAACTGCCCCACCCCCTGCCAGCCTGATCACCCCCAACTGCCCTCCCCTCCTGGCCTGATTACCCCAAACCACCTCTGCCTCAGCCCCAGCACCATGGCTTTGTCTGGAAGGACGTCCAGAAGGTCTCCCAGAAAGTCTTCCAATCTAATTAGCATATTACCCTTTTATTAGTATAGATATTAGAGGCGAATAAGGAGAAACAGAAATAGTAAGAACACTTTATATATCAATTGCAAGGTATAAAATACAACTTATGCATTTTATAGATAAGGAAAATGAGACCCAGAAAGATTAAATACTTTGAAAAGGCAGCACTTGGCCCTGAACCCAACTTCTCCATTCTAGCACTTTTCCCATCACAGCACCAGCTGGACTGATATCTGGAGAATGAACGACCAATCTGATAAATGTTCACCACTCTGCAATACTGAACAGATGATGATCTGTAACAACCCAAAGGTGCTGAGGAGTTCAGAGAGGGAAGGGAAGGTATACTTCGTGGTCTTTTATGTGCCACTGACCATCAGAAATCTTTACTGAGAAGAAAAACCTGTTGCCAACTAAAGGCAGTTACATTAATAAATCATTCAACCTCATAGACAGACATCATCATGGTTCCTCACGTTAGAATTCCAGGATCACAGAATTCTGGAAATAGAAAGGAGCAAAAAATGTAGTCCAGTGCTAATCGGCATGAGCCAGAGGAAGCCTGTCCTCCAGCGCACAAGGCTTCCGAGGTCTGATCTCACCAGCTTTTCAGGGGCCTTTCCCCTTACTGCACCTTCTGGCCTCGTCCTGGGAGATCATTTTTCGTCCCCTCGATACACTGTGCACTTCCACACCTCCCTTCCGTCTCTCCCCTGTCTGAAACACTCTCAGCTCTTCTCTGGCAGGAGGAAGCCTCCCATGCTTAAAAATCCAATTAAGCGTTGGGAAGCCTTCTCCAACTCACTCCCCAAACGGGACTTGACCTCAGGCATAATTTTTTATTCATCATGTCAGTATGTCACTGTCTCATGATGATCTATGTCATGTCTACTTGTACGTGATGTCCTTCTACTAATCTATGCACCCCTAACACAGGACTAAGAATATATTTAACATCCAGTTCAATATTAATTCTATCATCCAATTATTTATGAAATCATCCAATTGTCTCATTTTACTTACGAAAACTGAATTCCAGAGAGGTAGGGGACTTGTTGATCATGAGGAAACAAGCCAATGTGAGGGCTCAGATAACAAATTATGCTCACTCCTTCATAACCCACCTCATAAGGGAAAGGGTTGGCATGGTAGAGTCTGGAGGAACAAACCCACCCTTCTTGGCTATTTGCCTAACTTTTTACTCAAGGTCTGACTGCTATACTGTATTGCTGGCAATGTCAGTTTTCCTCAATAACAAAGGCTTCCCAGTTCAGAACGTATACATATGTGGCTAACAGGAAAAGTGAGTATAAGTCCAACATGATAAACAGGGAGGTATGTCAAACTCCTATTCAGTCTATGAAAAACCTACTCATAATTCTAACTTTGCTCCCTTAAGTATGGAGAGAAGGCATAGCTCATTTGGAAAATCTGACCAAAAGCCCACATTTCAACACAGTGAAATGCTTTATCCCCTTTCCCTTCCATCACACCAAGAACTTTCTATACGTAATTATTTAATCCCAGGCTGAACACTAGTGGACAATGAAATCCCCACAAAAAGTTCCCCCCCGCAGTGAGGTGTTCAAACATCAGTTTCACAAAAAACATTTTTAAAAGCTTTTCATGTGATTTTTTCCATGCCAATTTTTTTTTCACTCATGGCTAAAAATGTTCATATTTGAATATTCATCATTATGAGCCTCTGGTAAAATATAGCCCTGTCCAGTCATTTGCATCTTTTGACTATTGGACCTTAGAAGGGGAGAGGTAAAAAAATTCCAGTTTCGCCCTAACTGGTTTTGCTCAGTGGATAGAGCGTCAGCCTGCGGACTGAAGGGTCCCAGGTTCGATTCCAGTCAAAGGCATGTACCTTGGTTGCGGGCACACCCCCAGTAGGGAGTGTGCAGGAGGCAGCTGATCGATGTTTCTAACTCTATCTCTCTCCCTTCCTCTCTGTAAAAAATCAATAAAATATATATTTTTTAAAAATCCAGTTTCATTCTGTTTGAATTTTTAACCGTCTTTTTCCATTTCATGGCTTTGGGTAGCTTTGATTGGGCTGATATTTCCTGCTATAAATAGGGAAAATGAGATCCAGAAAGATTAAGTACTTTGGAAAAGATTAAATAATTACTGTTAGATTTTTCTCCAAATAGACAGGTTGCTTTCAGACGAGTCCTTGTGGGTTTCATCAATGGCTCACTGGGAACAACAAAATGAAGCCACAAATCACTTGTGCATTTTCAATATATTGTGGGTTTTGCTTTAAACCAACAATAAAGGCCATGGTCATGAAGGCTGTACAACAATGTGAGTGTACTAAACGCCACTGAAGCGGACACCTAAAAATGGTTACAATGGTAACTTTAGGTATGCTTTACCACAAAGTGAAGGCGAACTTACAGGAGGTAACAATTATCCCAAACCCTTCGTCGGGGGGGGGGGGGGGGGGGGGGGGGGGGGGGGGGGGGCGGGTAATGAATGATCTCTATTTTTCAGACAGAGAGCAAATGGCTTTCACGCTCCAGTTCCACCAGGCCTCTTAGCAAGGCTCTCGCACGTGCGCCTTTCCCCGTGGAGTGGAAAGAAGAAAAGGAACGACTGCCAGATAAAATATTAACCTACGGAAAGATAATGTTAAGTCATGGAACCATAACCCTTGAAACTGACTAGATTACAAGGTCATCCGCTAGTCAACAGCTCCCAGTCTTTCGGGTTGGTCCCGCTCAACTCCTGTCCTTCACCGGAACCGTGAACAGCGGTCCAATCTGGCTTGTGGACGTGCATAAATTATAGACAGCTGTCAGAATGTAATTCAGAGAGCGGCTCTGACAACTTCGCAGTAGGGCATGGAAAATACTACAAGGTAATAGAAGAGGGACGGGGGGGGGGGGGCAGTGAGCAGATTGGGTGTCTTCCAAGCTCCTGAAAGACACCACGTGGTGGACTTGTTTTGGAGACCAGAGAAGAGCAAAATCAGGGAAAGAGTTGTAAGGAGGCCGCTTCCTATAGCCGTGGGAATCGTCTGGAAGGAGAAGGCTACGAATCCACCCCCTGAGCCTTCAGGTCCCAGGGCTGCCCTGGCGATGCTCGCTGGGAGGTGAGCGGTGTGGACTCCGGCGGTGGTGGCTGGGACGAGGGGGAAGGTGCGCATGAATCCGCTGGTCTGCGAGGGGGGGAGGGGGAGCGGGAGGAGCGGGCTTACCAGGCCACCTCCGCAGGTGCTGAACGAGGCCAGGGAGCCGGGGTGCCGCAGCACCGCCCCGGTGTAGAAACAGGCGACGTCGGGCGGCGCGGGAGGGCGCGGGGCGGCTTCTGCCCGCGTGGGACCCGGGCCGGGGCTCGGCCACTGCTCCACCGCGAAGCGCGGCGCCAGGAAGCGGCCGTCCCTCCGGAGCAACAGGTAGAGGTCCCGGGAGAAGGCCGGGATCCGCAGCAGCACCTCGTCGCCTTCCGGGTCGGCGTGCGGGGCCGGGGGCGGGGACGGGGGCGGCAGCGGGGGCGGCGGCGGCTGCCACGAGGCCGGGGCGCCTGGGGACAGGGCGGCAGCCCCGCCGGATCCCCGCGGCAGCTCCTGCGACTCGAGCTCTTCGTCCTCCTCGCCCCCGGGCGGTGGCGAGGGCCGGGGCCCGGGCTCGGACGGGCCCTCCGCCTGCTCCTCAGGGGGCGCCGGAGCCACGGAGCGCACCTCGCGGGAGCTGCCGGCCGCCTGCGTCCGGGCGCCTCCGCCGCCGCGCACCCAGCCCGGGTCGGCGCTGCCCCCGCTGCCGCCCGCGGCGTCCACCGGCTCCCGGCGCCAGAGCGCAGGAAACACGACTTCCCACTCCTCGCGGTCCGGGGCGAGCTGCAGCCCTGCGGGCGGGGCAGACAGAAGTGCGGGCTGAGAGCGCACCGCCCCGGCGTGCCCGGCTCCCCGTCGCTGCAGACCACCCGTCTAGCCCCTGGAACTCCGGCAAGCCCTGGAGCCTGGCGATCAGATTACAGATCCCCAGGTTTTCAAAATAAAAGTACTATTACAGGGTGGGGGGAAGGGAGCGGGGATGGGGCAGTCGAGTCTGGTGACAGCCCTTGGTTGCGGAACGGTGCAAAGACCACAGCACCATTAAGCAATTGTCTTAAGTACATGCCAGAGCAGAGCTCTCCATTGATGGACGTCCCAGTTTTCCTCCAGGTGCTGTAAACGCACCTCTCCAAACACCACTCCTCTCATAGAGGAAGACGAACGCTCTCGGGCGGTTTTTTAAAGGCCTGGAGAACGGTGCTGGCTGCGGAGCGTGTCCCCGTCCTCCGTGCCCGCACGCGCCTTTCCTAGCTGCCCACTGAGCCCTGCTCCCCGCACACGGGCTGCACCAGCCCCGCCGACCCCCGCGCGTTCCGGTCCCCGCTGGGGACCTTGGAAAGCGGCTTCCGCAGGTCACGCCAGAACTTACCTGAAACCATCCCGTTCGACAAGACCCCCAGCTGGTAAAGGAGGCAGCAGCAGCAGCAGAGGCGAGCCAGGCGCATCTCGCGACTCTTCCCCATCCCGCGCTCCAGCGGCCGCGGCTCCCTGCCCCGCGCGCGCCTCCCTGCGCGATCCACCGTGGGCGCCGCCGCCTCCCCGGAGCGCTAGAAGGCCAGGCGGCGAGTTTGCCCAGGCCCTTTGTCTGAAGGGGGGGGGGGGGGTGCTGTGTGACTCCGAGAGGCTGCCCGAGCACAGGCGGGGGTGGGGTGGGGGGAGGAGCGGGGGCAGGCAGCGCCAAAGCCCGCGGCTCCCCGGCTCCCTGGCGAATTAGGTGATGAGTCTATTTCCCGTGTCCTGGATGTTGCAGGAGTTTCCGGAGCCCCACAGGACCGACCCACAATCAGCAGAGAACCGGCAAGCGCCAGGCGGTCAGGGCTGCCTGGAGACGGAGTGAGGACTGCCCTGCGCGGGCTGAAGAGCCGTGGTGTCCGAGCCGAGGCTCGCCGCCTGCGCCCGCGCCGAACTGCCAGGGGTTGGTGCCGCAGTTCCAGCAACCTGGTGTGCCCGTATCCGCGCACGCCTCATCCGCCTTGAGACCCGAGTCCTGCAGGCTCTCGCCCGCCGCGGCGCGGGAGAGAATTTGTGGGAGGATGAGGGGGAGACTCGACATGCAAGGTGGGATGTTAGAGGAGAAAAGTTTCAAACAGATCCCACCAGAAAAAGGGGCCAAGGTTGCCCGCCAAGTGTGACTTTGCCGGACAAAGGTCCCTGAACACCGCACACGTGCTCACACGCCCAGTTGGGATGGGGTGGGGACCCAAATTTCCTCACCTGACTCCTGATTGGCTACTCGAGGCGCCCGATTTGCATCCTTAACACCGCACCCACTCACCCACCCCTAGTGGAGGTGTGAGCAGGTAGAAGTACCTCCCTCTCCCCACCCCACCTCCTCACTCAGGCTCCTCCTTTGGTCGAATTCCCCACCGAGCATCACACAAAGCAAAACTTAAATGCAAACTTAAGCACAAAGCTGGGCCCCATTTACCAAAGACCTTTGATTTTTCTTCCCATCTTTGTCTCTAGGAATTTTCTAAGTCTGGAGATAATGTAATTCGTCATGGAGTGTGCTTCAAAGATTCCCAGGACAGTAGACATCCAGACATCCTGACATTTCAGAGCCCCTTATCCCACCTTATCTTTCCGGCTTCCCATTAATCAGTGCTATCAATTTCTCTCTCTCTCTCTCTCTCTCTCTCTCTCTCTCTCTCTCTCTCTCTCTCTCTCTCACACACACACACACACACACACACACACACACACACACACACACCAAGCACTCATAATGAGGGTAAGATTAAGAGGACCAGTGTTGAATATTGTATTCTAATGTCTCAGGCCAAGTGAGATTATTTTGCCTTTTTTACGTACATTAAATATATTTCTGCTATTTCTGTCTTTGGGGGGAAACTCAACCTTAAATATTGCCTCCTTTGTTGCAGCTCTTCATGGTGCCTACCCCCTTTCCACACCTCTTTTCTTGTCCACATCAAACCTTTCAAGTCAGACTCAAGGGTGATTGATCTAACCTGCTATTTGCACCCTCTAGTCTAGGCCAGGCACCTACATATAAGAGTTAATGCAAATCGGTGAGGGTTTTTTTAAATGCCGGCGCTGAGGTTGGTTTTTCATGTCCTTTGTTGTTTTACCTTCTGTTCCTTGTGTCAAAGGTGACCACTATGCCTTTCAGGGAGGCAGACGATCTTATTTCAAAGGAAAGCCATTGTTTGAATAAGCAGGGTCCTAGAATACTTTGTTTGAGTGGTCCGGAGTTTTAAAACAAACACAAAGACCCTCTAGGTGTGTTTGTAAAGAGTGTTTTGTCTCCAAACCTTGTCTTGCAAAAGATCTAAAATGGATGGGTGTGGGTATCCTGACACTCAAGAAATATCTGAGTTACTTAGGAACCTACACAATTCTTTTTATGGGACTCAATTATACAGATTTTAAACTAGGCAAGAGATCAGAGACAGTTTATTTTTAATAAATACAGCAAGTCATTAAGACAGAAGGCTAGTTTCAATGAAACACCTCCATAGGGTATGTCTTAAATTTTTCTCATATAATTTTAACAATGACAAAAATATAAGAGTAAAATTGTAGGAATGCATATTAAATTGTATGCATTTATTGGAGTACATTTGTGATTCCTTAAAACACAATGACTTATATGATTAAATTAAATATACAACTCAAAAGCACAGGTTGCCTATGTGAGTTCCCATCTCTGCCGTTTCCCCCGCTACTAACGTAATCCAGAAAGGTTTGCCTAATTCCCAGCAAGCTCTTCTCTTCCTCCCACTTGAAATACTGTTCTAATTTACTGGTATATTTTCAAAGGCTTTTATAAATAATTTGGTTTGCAATGACTTGTATACATATTTCTCCTATTATACCATCAATTTTGAAAGTAGGAATAATTGCTTTTAATTTTTTATCACCCTGCCTAATTCAACGATTTACACCAAATAGGTGTAGAAATTCTCTAAGATGTTTTAGGAGATGATAGAAATTGCTGTCTGTGTAGTACTTTATTTCAATTCCAATTTTAACCCTCAGTTACAACATTAGCTCAGTTGGTGATCTTCGACTACCAGTAGGATTTTTCTGGTTTATGGAGGACAAGCCTAGGAGAGCAATGACTTGTAGGAAGTTTCTGTGCTCTAACTAGAAGAGACTTAGATGTGCAAACAAGAGCATTGGTTAAAGTGGATTTGAGTAAGTTTCACATATGCATGTAAGTGAAAGAAAGAACTAGCCTGATTTGGAATTGAGTAAATTACATATGGTGAGATAGAGGAAAAAGGGCAGGACTGTGACATATGTGTGCAATACCAATCTTAGAGGGAAGAAAAGAACAGCTGGGAAAAATATGTTGCTTAAGACAGGTCAATACATATGTCACCAGATGGTAGCTAGCATCAACCAAGCAATGCTTTTGTGAAGTGGAGGTAAGTGACCAAGCATCAGAGTAAGTGGAACCAACTGTTCTTATACACAAGGTGCTCACATGCTGCATTTTATAACCCATGCTTTTCTATATAGAAAGTTGGCTTTGATGCCTTCAGCCCTTACTCATTCTCTTCACTCATTGGCCTGAAGCCTCTCACTACCTAAAGCTAATCTTAAAAATTTTCCAATCCAAGAAACCATAAAATCTTATGAAATACAAAGAACCCTTTCATTGAGTTATGTGAGCATACCAACTCCCAATAGCACTCACATGTAAATGGACATCAAGACTTAAGCTATGGTCTTCTTTTAACCTAATCTTGAAAAGGCTATTCTATTCATCTGAAGCAAATCACTAAGTCCATTGACCATATTATTTTATAGAGTATCTGCCCCTTTCTGTCCAGAAATGGTTTTGCATATGTAATTCTGTTTTCCAAACTTTGTGAGTCTTCTGTGAATCTTTATGAAGTTTCGACAAAAGCCACACCCTCAAATTTCTGGAAGATGAGACTTCTCTATCTTGACTTTTTGATGAGACTGCTGAGAAGCAGTGCTCTTATACTTCATAGAAGCCCTAATGTTTGATTGAAAGGATCGAGGAGATATACACTTAAACACTTTAGACTCGCAGTGGTTCTCAACCTTCCTAATGCCGCGACCCTTTAATACAGTTCCTCAAGTTGTGGTGACCCCCAACCATAAAATTATTTTTGTTGCTACTTCATAACTGTAATTTTGCTACTGTTATGAATCGTAATGTAAATATCTGATATGCAGGATATATTTTCATTGTTCGCGACCCGCAGGTTGAGAACCACTGCAGTTTAGAGGGCCTTCATTCTAACTGAAAGATACTCTGAATGGCCACATATGATCTTTATGATTTTTTAACAAGGGATATTACAATGAACTATTTATATGAACTATTGTAAGTCTTATCAAACATGTATAGGATCTAGTTACTGAAGATCACAAAACATTAATAATAATTAAAGACCTAAATAAATACGAAGACATAGTGGGTTTATAGTTTGGAAGAATAAAATTATTAAAGGTGACAATTCTGCCCAAATTATCTTTTTGTTTATATAAATTTCTATTAACGTGCCAGCAGAATTATTTTATAGATATAGACAAACTGGTTTTTTAAATATATTTTATTAATTTTACAGAAAGAATGAGAAAGGGATAGAGAGTTAGAAACATCGATAAGAAACATCAATCAGCTGCCTCCTGCATCCCCCCTATTGGGGATCGAGCCCGAAACCAAGGTACATGCCCTTGATCAGAATCAAACTTGGGACCCTTCAGTCCAGGGGGCCGAAGCCCCGTCTACTGAGCCAAACTGGTTAGGGCAACAAACTAATTTTTAAATATATACAGAAACAGAAAGGAACTAAAAATTGACAAAGAAGAATAAAGTTCAAGGACTAACAGAGTAATGTTAAAGTTACTCTATAGCTACACTAACCAAGAGATTATGGGATCCTATAGATCAGTGAAACAGAATAGAAAGTCTAGAAATAGTCTCACATAAGTACACAACTGTTTTTTGACAAAGGTTCAAAAGCAATTCAATGTAGAAAATATAGTATTTCAACAAATGAGGTTGGAATAACTGGACCAAAAAAAGAACTTAAACTTGAATCTCATATACAAAAATTAACTCAAAATGGATCATAGATCTAAATAGAAAATGTAAAAGTATAAAACATAAACCTTCTAGAAAAAAATATGAAACAAAATCTTTTGTCTTTGTGACTTATGGTTAAACAAAGAGTTCTTAGACATGACATCAAAATCAGAATCTGTAAAATAATAATAATAGTTACCATTATTATTAATCCATAAAAAAATAAAATGATAGATTGGACTTCATCAATATTAAAAACTTTTTCTCTGAAAAAGATCACAATAAAACAATGTAAAAATGGGCCACAGGCTGCAGAAAGATACTTGAAAATGTATTTGATAAAGACTTAAATATAGAATTTTTAAAAAATATTTGAACTTATGACTAAGAGAATAAGAAATCCAACTAAAAAATGAGCAAAAAACTTGAAAAGCAAGTATATTCAGAAACAATAAGAATATGAAAAGATATTAAACATCATTAATTTGTAGATAAATATGAATTAAA